ATATATATTAAAATTTTAAAATTATTAAATTTTTAATAAGAAAGACTAAAATTACACAATTATAATATTTAAGAGACCAAAATTATTCAATTAAAAATCAAGGGACTAAAATCGCACTATTGCAATCTTTTAAGGACTAAAATTACTCAATTAAAATCTTGGAGATCAAAATTGCACAATTACAATACTTGAGGGATCAAAAATACAATTAAGCCAAAATATTAATACGATATTCAATTATAAATTATTATAGATTATAAAATTATTGATATTTATAATAATTCTTCCAAATTAATTAATAAAGTAAGTAATTTATTTTTGCTAAAAATAAGTATTATAAAGAAAGTCACTAATGCTTACAAATGATTTATTCTTATCGAAATCTTCTTATTTAATGTCTATTAAATTTTTGAATGATTATTTTTATATTCAATAATAAAGAGTACTTCTTGGTAATGAATCAAGAAAATATGATAATTGTGGATAAAATTAAATGCTACTTTTACTTATAAATATTTTAGAGAGATAAGTCTCAAATAATTATACTTAAACTATTTATTATTGATAAAACTAAAGAAATTGTTATTATACAACTTACATTATAGATGGATTGGTCACATATGAAACAAATAGTTTCTTATAAATTTTTAATTTTTAATAATAACTTTTATCTGTCACTGAAATTCAATATTCTTACATTAAAACTAAAGGTTTAAATATTTTTTTAACTCATATAATTTCTCTTACTTTATTTTTTAATTTCTATAATTAAATTTTTTTAATTATACTTATCTTTTTAATTTTCTTTAGTCCTTATAGTTTAAAATAGATTTTTTTAGTTTTTATACTTGTAATTTTTTTAATTCTTTCAATTTTGCTGTTAATTTCTCTATTACATTGTCTTTTTTATGTTGACGTTACATACGTATTCAACTTTATAATTTTGAAGTTAAATTTATCTTATGTATGTAGTTGCGTTAAATTTTGGGATCAGCTATCACACCTTTTGAGGTGCCTCCAACATAGCGAGGACACTGCTATTGGCGGTGGATACTCCAAGGACGAACCAAAAAATAACAACACAAAAAAAACAACCAAACAGAAAAAAAAAAAAAGAATTAAAAAAAGTAAATATAAAAATTAAAAAGATATATTAAATTATGAACACTAAAATAAATTAATAAAAATAAATATAAAAACTAAAAATATTTATTTTAAATTATATGATATAAAAAGGAAAATAATTAAAATTATAATTTAAAAATATATTTTAACTAAAATTAAATTATTAAATCCAATATTAAATGATATATAGTAGGATATAGTTAAATTATTTCTTTGACAGAATAACGTGTATCATTTTTTAAATATGGAAATTATGATTGTGACTTTTATTTTAATACATTTATTTATTTGTCAAATTAATTATTTAATGTGAACTGCATGTGACTGTCAGTCAAATTAGCCTCAAGGATTCGTGATCTGGACAGTAATATAGTTAAGGGAACGCACGTTCATGATTCTTAAAATTATAATTTATTAACGATCAATATGATGAATTCTATATTTTCGGACTTATTGAATCATGTCCTACAACATCAACGCATCTTCTGGGTTTTTCATTTTTCTGATACATACGCATTTTCTGGGTTTCAATTTGATTTTTGTGATGCTGAAATTTCTAAGTTTCTATTATGCATGTTAACGGATATTTCCTCTGAATTTATAAACAATTTTTTTTAAAAATTTTTTAACTCAAATAAACGAATTTTAATGAAGTCAACTTTATTTAATATTCTTAATTCAAAAATACTTTTAAGACAATAAATAAGATTATTAG